AAGCCTGGGCATCTGCTTCCATAAAGACTAGAGCCAAGAAAACCCTATGGTGTAATCTGACTCTCATGCATGGGGTTGTCATGAGTTGGAACTGACTCGATGGCAAAGGGTTTGGTTTGAGCAGGATTAAGGGGTCCTAAACTGTATGCTGCAGTATAACCAAAACCAACCAAACCCGTTGCCATCGAGTCGATTCTGACCCTTTAATATTGTTGGTTTTTTATACTGTACTTTGAAGCCCTGGTGGTGCAGTGGTTAAGAGCTACAGCTGCTAACCAAAAGGTCAGCAGTTCGAATCTACCAGCTGCTCCTTGGAAACCCTATGGGGAAGTCCTACAGGGTTGCTATGAGTTGGAATCGACTCTACAGCAATGAGTTTGTTTTTTTGATTTTTTTATACTGCATGTTAGAGTCCTTGTGGCACAGCAGTTAAAGCACTCAGCTGTGAACAGAAAGGTCAATGGTTTGAACCCACAAGCTGCTCCCCGGGAGAAAGATGTGGCTGTCTGCTTCTGTAAAGATTACAGCCTTGGAAACCCTATCAGGCAGTTCTACTCTGTCCTATAGGGTTGCTATCAGTTGGAATCGACTCGATGGCAATGAGTTTATACTGCATGTTGAAGTACTCAAGGAGGAGCGACAGAAGCTGTTCCTACCCTTAGGCCTGAAGGACAAAGAGAGGAACTAGTCCTATCCAAGTCTAGTGAGAGCTGGAGACACCTGGAGGAAGCAGAGAATAAATACCCCGACCTCTCTCTCCTCCTACCCTCTGATCTCCTTCCTGTGCCTCCAATTGACCACACCCAACAGGAAACCAAAGGGCAAGGGGCCCTGTGATGCAGTCTATCAGGTGGAAAGGGCAGAGAATGAACATGGGAAGCAAAGAGAGCATCATCACCCCAACATTCTACTAAATAGTAGAACAATATTGCATATTTACACTCTTGATATACAAACTCAACGAATAGAGATGTAGTGGCTCCGTGACACATTTTGTATAGCTAGGGGAAGCCCGTCAGAGTTTGCTAGTCCCTTGCTTTTCTGTGATCATTCAATCAGTGGGTTCATTAGCTAGAACACATGGAAGAGCTAATGCCAAATGCAACCTGGTGCCCTGCCCTTGAGAGCCAGTCTCTTAGTACTAATTCAGAAGGGACTAGCACAGCACTAAACGCCTTCTAAAACAGAAACTCTGTTGCCATGCCTTTGTAAATAGTCCCTTAATTCAATTCTCTCCAATTCAACACTTGTGAATAGAATCTATTTCCCTCCTGAACCCTAACTAATATTAATATACAGAGCAATTGAGATTTTCATTTTATGATCTCCCAACCACTTAAAATTAATAATTGATACCCCAAATAATAGCTACAGACTCAATATTTTCTAATTATCTTCCAAAATTTAACTCAATTACTTCTTTCTCAAAGTGACGCTGAAAAGCATAAGAGCACCTGCTTCTTTAAAAATACCAATATTCCCTATCCCACTGTGGCTCAGAATCCTTCGGAATACAACTTTTCGGAGATGCTTTCATTGCCTGTTTTCTTGTTTGTATTGTTCCGTTTTGCTTTCCTTTCTTTAAACCAGGAAGAGAAGCAGGGAGCTTACAAAAGAACACTCAACGAAAAGCCTAGGGGTTTTCAAAAAGACAATTCAGTGTAAGATAAGTAACTAATCTTTCTAGTTAAATGTAGCAATTGTGAGGATAGTGCAGGATGGGGCAGTGTTTCATTCTGTTGAACATACAGGGCTGCTATGAGTCGGAACCCGCCTGACGGCCCTTAACAACAATAATCTTTCTGATAAATTAAAATTTAGCAGTTACCAAATACATTCCGAAAAACTCGACTAGAGTGTTCAACTCCTGTATTAAAGATACATCTTTTGTAGGTAAATTGTTGAACACATATTACCAGAAAACAAACGTGAAAACTATTAAAAGTACTGTTATTTTCCGGTGTGCGCCAGAGATTCCCAACTAAGAAAGTTCAGCATTATTACTTGACTTACGGTAAAAAAAAAGTTAGTGTGTGTGTATGCTGGAGGGACCCTGGTGGCGCAGTGGTTAAGTGCTCGGTTGCTAACCTAAAGGTCATCAGTTTGAACCCACCAGCCACTCCATGGAAGAAAGATGTGGCAGTCTGCTTCCATAAAGATTACTGCCTTGGAAACCCTACAGGGAAGTTCTACCCTGTCCTATAGGGTCGCTATGAGTTGGAATTGACTCGACAGCAATAGGTATTTTTTTTTTCTTCTGCATATATACATGTTGTTGTTGTTAGTTGCCACTGAGTTAGTTGCCACGGAGACCCCATATGTGCAGAGAACTGCTCCATAGTGTTTCCAAGGATGTGACCCTTCAGAAGCTGATTGCCAGGTCTTACTTAGAGGAGCCTCTGAGTGGATTCAAACTGCCAACCTTTTGGCTAATAGTAGAGGGCTTAAGCGTTCGTAACACCCAGGGATATATACGTAAACATGTATTTATAATTTCTGGTTTACGTTTTACTTAGTTTAAAATTTCTATTTATTGTTATGAGAATTCTATAATTCTATACTTGGAATATATTCACATACACTTAAATATAACCAAATAAAAATATGCAGGCTTCCCTTAAGTAAGAACTGTCCACTGTCCGTGTATTGATCGGCATCTATTCTACACGTCCAACCCCGGGCTGGTTCATCTTGTTTTATTCTGGGATCTTCTTTCTTGCATCTGTAACTTAATTAGCAAGTCCTTCATTTTTAACTCATGCACTTGTTCAAAGTTCTATCTGTAAGTATTGAGTCTTCTTAAGTTCTTTTTTCTCTTCTTCTTCCTTGTCTCTCACTATCTCCGACCTCACCAGCTGCCACCATCTCTGTTGTCTCCACCATCTCTACCAACATTAACAAGCTCCACTGTGTCTTTCTGTTTCTTTCTGCACACTCAGAGACTCATATGCCATGTTTTCGTGTTTGTAGCTTACTTATCTCATAAAACAGTTCATTGTGGAAACCCATCCTAAACAGCTAGTATGTTGTCATTGTGTTGTGTGCTGTTGAGTCAATTCTGACTCATAGCCACCCTAAAGGACAGAGTAGAACTGCCCCATAGAGAAAACAGCTGGTATAGACTTAATTCTTTACAAGGATCCATGATTTTACACGCTCTTCTATGACTCCCCTATTAATTCACAATCACCCCACCCCCCAGCCACCACCAGTTTTTGGACAGGATATACTGACCTGCAAAAAGCAACCTTAGGGGTGAGGGTCTGTGTGTGTACTGAAATATACATACAAATGTAAATACAAATATATTCATTTTTTAATGACTGATGCTTTTATTTCCATGGAATAGATTCCCAAAATTGAAATGTCAAAGGATGGATATATCAGCATTTTGGTAAAGGCTGACAGATGACTGTACAAAAAGATTATAACAATTTATTCTTCAACCACCAATGCATGAGGATAGCTTTTTCCACTCACGCCATCAGCAGATACTGTTGAAAAATTAATTTTATTAATCTTATAGGCATAAACTTAGAAAAATCTTATTGCTATCTTAATTTTCATTTATGACTGGAGAAATTCAGTATCTTTTATGTCTGTGTCTTCATTTGCTTGGAATTTTTTTTTTTCTATTGAGACAATATCTTTTGATTATAAATTAGTAAATTATTCCTTCTATTTTAATCTGTGCTCCTTTTATTTCATTCTTTGCTTGTCTCTCTCTCTCTATTATGTTTTGATCATTCTTTTTCTCCTCCCTCTTTTAATTTAGGAGTTCTGTCCTTTACATGTATTGAAGGTTATCCCTCCCTTCTAAACTCACAATCAAATACTTGTTTCTGTGTTATCACCTGAACAAGGTGACCTCCACTCTACCTCTCTCACTCTCACCAGACACCCTATTCCACGTCTGCTTTCCTTACACTTTAAGAGATGAATGCCCGCATCTCAACTATTAATTAAATCTAATTCTAACTGCAATTACTCCTACTAGAAAAACATATTTATTGACTCTTAAAGAGAAGAAGTAACAATTCTATTGTAATATGTAGACTGTAGAGAAGAAGGATACCATAATCATGAGGGGACATATGTGGGTTTAAATAAAGTTGGATATTCATGCTTATCCTAAGAGGAGCAGTATTATAAAGATTATAGAGAAAACGAGCTAATATGGAAATTAAATGAGCTTCAAGATCAGTCTGCTATCTTATTCTTATATCTTCCTTTTCTATAGCAGACCTCGATAAGTATTTGAGGAAATTTTATTTTTTTAAATTAAGGAATAAAATGCTTCACTGATTTTTGATGGAGAAATTACCAAGATAATGTCTGTTTTAATGATTTAATTTTTAGCCTTTTGTGGGGTTTTATTAAAATAGGTAAAGAGAATTTTATGATTTATTCAAAACAGGCTCATTTCAACTCCTAGTACATTTTATTTCTAAGCTTCAACCACTCTGGTTGAAAAATCTATAATTAAGTGGCGATAAAGAAGGCCTTAGTTATCCTATTGGAACAATACAGCAGTGCAGGATGGCTAAGCATATAAATGGAAGGAGTCATTGCATAGAAAATATTTAGTGCTTTCTATATTACATCGTTATTGTAACTTTTGTTACATAATTGCTATATTGTTTAAAAGATACATATGATGGTCTATATAAGTTAACTGGTGATAGTGAATTTTATAGTTAATATAGTGATGATTAAACAAATATATATTGAGTTCATACACTGTACTAGTCTAGGTGTTGAAAGGATGCCAGATACGTTAGAAATAGTTCATGACCTAAGAGAATTTACAATCTTATGTAAGTTGGGATGGGGTAATGCAGGGAGGGGGTGGACGGAGTAAAGTAAAATGGATAAAAGAAGTATAAAAATAACTTAAAATCCTAACTAGATACTGCACATGATAGCAATCATGTTAGAAAAATAATGGCATAATACTCTTATATTCTAACAACTTTTAAGAGTCATTATATTCCACTTACTTTCACTGGTTGAATAATCCTGGGGGTCAAGTATTCCTGATTCCTGCAGCGATCTAATACAGGAGTCCACCAGCTCAAGACCTGTTGTAAGTTCATCTTCGATGTCTTTTTGACCATCTGAAATAAAATATTTTAAAGTGATGAACAAACACACCATAATCAATGTTAACATTAGAGCTTTAGGTGGTCACCTGATAATCAATAGCATCCTAAACAGATATCACTGCCACGAAGTTCCCATTAGATATCGTATTACAATTGTTGGCCAATCAGCATTAAAGTCAAGGTCGGCCAATTATATGTATCCAAACTTACTTACTTAAACACAATCTTACTAAGGAACTGAGAGAACTTAACTCCCATGAAATCATTAACTCTCACAACAACTTCATTTACATTTGACTTCCATGATGTTGTCATGTTCACTTTGATAAATCTCTTTCTAAAGCTCACAAGAGAATTAAATCAATAGAGATACATGTAGAAGTGCTCATCAAGAAGATGTACTTTACCTTGCGATTGCCAATGAAACTGCTCCTCTGCTGAACTGTAAGAAAGAGAATACACAGGTATAACGCATTGATTACATAAGAAACGACCTTAGACTACAAGCCACAAAGGCACATGAGGCTAGTGATGGTGGCCCTTGGCACCATTACCAAAATGGTGGCCCATTTTGATACAATCTTCTTTTTAATCCATTTGATGTATATTCTTTTTGACTCACAGACATTAACTTTGGCAAACGGTCATTCTTCAAATAATTTTCAGACCAGGGACTCATCTTTTGCAAGATCCAACCTCTTGTACTTATTCCTAACAATAACTTCTACATACATGCAGTCTTACCCAATTGTAGTGATTTTATAGCACAAGTCTGAATAGCGTCATGTCGACTTTATAAGGCAAGCTAATAAATAATGTTTCCTTTTTCATTATAAATGAAGATAAAATAAATCTACGTCTTTTTCTAGACATTTCATATGAACGGTTCCTTTGAGTTGGCTACTATAGCTTAAATTAAATCATTTAAAAATTATAACACTTTACCATCACTTGAATATACATTTCTGAAACTCTCACTTCACGTCTTATAAAATGATTCAGGTAGAAAGGGTTATTCATATACATGATATGCCAAAGACATTGTGCAGAGTGGATCTATGTGGGTGACATAAATTTATTTTGAATGATGTATTAAATATGAAATCTATAAATTAATCAAAACTTTCTGAATAGGAGCAACTCTTTCATTGTATATGCAAACACTTCCTTCATGCTTCCCGTTTATATGTCAGTGGATTCTCTACACTTATTTCACCACATCTTTTCTTTGATTCATCAGCTTCTATGAACAGCTCAACAGTTTCACAACCGTAAGTGGATTTTAGAACTTTAATCTGTACTTCATACATGGCTTCTGAATACATTTATGGGGGAAAAAGGGAATTCTGGTATAAATTGGCATTCAGAAAAGCCGAGATTGATGTAAATGAATTCAAGAGTTATCCCTTAAGAGGCAGTTGACTTTTATGGGGTATCTTGCTCCGGAGCCAATCCACTTTAGCAAACCGGGAGGAGGTTTTACGATGAGCAGAGCTGTAGGAAGAACTGATATATGAAGTAACATGCTGGATTCAGTCAAATCTAATGTTATAAAGTACTAACATCAAACTGTAAAGTTTAACATTTATCATAAAATGTAATCTTAAAATCACTATTTTAAAAATTGTGGGGCAGGTTCACGTATGACGTGGCGTGTAATATAAGGCAGGCCCCTCTTAAAATTCAAGAATCACCCTAATAAATCAGAAGAAACATAGTCACCCTTGACACATTGATATTTTTCAAAGATGTGAATCTCAAAATATCAGTGTTTAAAGAACCATCCGATTGGTCATTTGCAGAACCTGGACTAGAATGCAGGTATACTGATTCTGAGTATTTCCAATTGCCTGCTTATATCACAGTTGCTTGTAGCATTTCATAAACACAGGTATTTTAGGCCACACCATATATCTACAAAATCGCAAAGTTGGGAACCTGTATCATGTACCAAGCATTCCCAATGACTATTATGTGCAGCTAACTTTGAAAAGCACTGGGTGCTATTTTCATTAACTATCCATATAAATTTATAGCTGATTCACAACTTTATTCTTCTATATTTTAAGTCTTGACAAACTCTCAAGGTGGTGTAATTTTGTAAGTGCTTATATGGCATACATATATTTAGGGAAAGAAAATACATTCACATTCTTCTGATACAATAGGAAAGTTCTCATGTTGTATCCTCCAGGGCTTACTACTACCTCTCAGTCATTATAATCATTTTACGTTGTTGGTGGTTGCTGTAGAGTTGATTTCAATGCATAGCAACCCATGTGTGCGGAGTCGAACTACTCCATAGTGTTTTCAAGGCTGTGAGCTTTTGGAAGCAGGTTGCCAGGCCTGTCTTCCCAGGCACCTCTGGGTGAGTTAGAAGCACTAACTTATCGGTTAGTAGTCAAGAACTTAACTATTTGTGTCACCCAGGGAACCAATTCCTTTTACTAGTGGAGCAAAAACAAAAACACAACAACAATGGGGGAAAAAAAAGTTGCTGTTGAGTTGATTCCAAATCATGGTGACCCTTTGTATCAGAGTAGATCTGCATATAGGATGTTCAATGGCTGTGACCTTTCAGAAGCAGATCGCCAGGCCTGTTTTCCAAGGCACCTCTAGGTAGATTCAAATTACTAATCTTTCGGTTAGTAGCTGAGCGCTCAACTGTTTATGACACCCAAATCTCTTTTTATAGATTACTAACAGGCTTAGTAACAGTAAACAAATTGACCACACAGGTCACAAGGGACTCGGTCATGATTTAAACCCATCTGTCCAACCCTGGTAGTGTAGTGGTAAAGAGTCTAGCTGTTAACCAATAGGTCGGCAGTTCGAATCCACCAGCTGCTCCTTGGAAACCCTATGGGGCAGTTCTACTCGGTCCTATAGGGTCGCTATGAGTCGGAGTCGACTCGACAGCATTGGGTTTGTTTTTTTTGTTGGGGGTCCAACTCCGAAGCTCATATTCCTAACTAAAGATCAAAAGACAAGGCGGGAGGAGCAATAAGAGTCAGTGGAAGCCATTCCCACAGTTCATTGAAATCCAGCTCTCCTCTCCTTTCAGGCCCACTGAAGACCACACTGAGCAGTCCCCTCGCACACAGATGGGGCGATGAAAGACAGTGACCAGTGTCACTCCCTGCCCTACGCACAGGACAAGCATGAGATGTGCTAGCCCTTTATTCTCCTTAAGCCCTGTGTTGATATGGGTTCCTGAGTCACTCTGTGGGGCAAAGAAGTCTGCCAACCGGTAGAAAGCATGGAGTGTGAGTAAACAATAGACCATAGTTGGATTAACATTTCTTGGTTGCACACTGACTAATGTGGAAATATATCATCATTTGAGCTCATATGACATTTCCTACTTCCCTATCTTCCATTCCCACAGTCCAGAGATGGAAGAAAGTGCCCTGGGTGATGCTAGCACAAATAAGGTGGCAGCATTGTTTTTGTTCCTCCTTTGGCACTTGTCTGCTTATCTATAACAATGGATATTTTTTTGTGTAGGAGTATACTTTATCACTATTGCATAATATTTATTTTTTTGTTCGTGTCTTTCAAAAGTGTCTGAATTTTATGATGCAACAGAAACAAGAAGAAACACTGTTTATTACAATTGGAAAAATACCATTGACGTTGAATATAAAACGATCCTACTGAGGCAGAGACACCTTCCTTTTGGGCAGACAAAGAACATTAATCACTTCAATGGTTTCCCTGAGTCCTTTAGCACAGTTAAAATGCATTGAAAGTATGATCACTGAGAAGAGAAGTCCCAAGAGATACCTGGGTTGGATTTTATTTCCTTTAAGTACACATTCACTCTCTGTTAGGGAATTTTCTGCAATTGCATATTTTATGCACTTGATTCCTCCTCTTAAAACTTGCTCTAAGATGGATGTTTTAAAATAGCAAACAGACTATTCATTGGCTATAAACATGGATTATGCCTGTTTCTCACATATCAGGGGTCTAGGAATTACCCATGGTAAATGTTCACCCAATTATCTAACTCAATATTACAGAAAAGAAAAGTCATTTTTGAAGCTGTTCTAATTTAAATGTGCTTTCCATTTCTGGACATAAAGTTTGCTTTTACTGCAGAAAGACTATTTCTTGAAATAGAAATCATCTCTAGAGAATTCAGTTTAAGAAAAAATATGGATGTAATTTAGATCAGTCCATATATATTTAAACACATCTATGTATAAGGTCTAGAACCCACTGATTGTGAGAAAAAATAGATTTATAACAAGTAACATTTAATTGTTAAACAAATATGGAAAAAAGAAATGCCAGGAGGATTTTTAACATAATACACTAAGAGGACCAATCCTAATAGCAAAGACATATAGCTCTCACTTTGTCACAGGCACTGTTCTAAGTCCTTTACAGTTAATCTTCATGACAAACCTACTGAGAGAGGTACTGTTATATCCATTTTACAGAAGTGAAAGCAAGGTAAAAGTATACTAACGAACTTGCTGAAGGTCCCATAGTCAGCAACTAGTGGAGTCAGGTTTATGGCTCTTGGCCTCTGCTTCCAGAATCCACATTCTGAGCCACTATTCTATGCACACATTTGGCTCTATCAAAATTAAACTCCTATGTGATTAAGAACGAATGACAAACAAACATTAAAACACACACACACACTTATCCTGGGAGAAGACACTTGCAATGCATATAACTTATAAAAATTAGCATCTACACTACATGAGTAATTCCTACAAATCAATATGATAGAGATAAAAAAGCAAAATGAAAGGAAGCCAATGAATATGTATAGGCAATGCATAGTACAGCAATCAAGAATGTATGGCTACCAATACATTAAAATATATTGAATCTCACTAGTAAATTGGGCTCCCATGCATATGTTAGTTTGTCATACTGTAGGGGCTGGCATGTTGCTGTAATGCTGGAAGCTATGCTACCAGTATTCAGATATCAGAAGGGCCACCCATGATGAACAGGTTTCAGCTGTACTTCCAGACTAAGACAGACTAGGAAGAAGGACCTGACAGTCTACTTCTGAAAGGAATAAGCCAGTGAAAACCTTATGAATAGCAGTGGAATGCTGTCTCATATACTGCCAAGAAGATGAGCCTCTCAGGTTGAAAGGCATTCAAAATACAACTGTGGAAGGGCTGCCTCCTCAAAGTAGAGTCAACTTTAATGATGTGGATGGAGTTAAGCTTTTGGGACCTTCATTTGCTGATGTGGCACAACTCAAAAAAAGAAGAAACAGCTACAAATATCCAATAGTAACTGGAACATGGACTGTACGAAGTATGAATCTAGGAAAACTAGAAATTGTCAAAAATGAAATGGAATGCATAAACATCAATATCCTAGGCATTAGTGAGCTGAAATGGACTGGTATTGGCCATTTTGAATTGGACAATCATATGGTGTACTATGTCGGGAATGACAACTTGA